AATAAGGTTCCTACAATGAACCTATTAGTCTCCATCACTCGTGTGCGTCAAATTCCAAAGATGTCTAGCCACGATAGGACAGAACTTGAAACACCACGGCCGCGGGATGGCTATTGGAAATAGGAATGAAATCTGTTTTCTTTGGGTTTTCGCGCTGGTTTTCCACTGACATTGGGGAAAGGGTGATAACCCCTTGTGTTATTGAAGTGTTTCATGCGTATCCCCGTATTTCAGGGAACGTGAGTAATGCATGTTGCTGTTGGTTAGGCGAACACAACGTAATTCGGACGTTGTTCAGATTGAAAAACCTAAGCACGTCCCTTGTTTCGAAAATGCAACGGAGTTTCAAGCTGCATTCTGTCACTCGAGACGTTCTGAATCTGATACCTGATAACTTCCAGAACGCCAGGATAATTATAAAGGCTTACGATAAAAACACTGGAATTCTGCTCAATTACTGTACGTGTCTCCATTCCTGGATATGTCGGTTGCTCAGAAACTTCTGTTTATTGTGATATGTCGATGTCCCAACATAAAGTTCATTCCAAGGCACCCAGAATAAAATGACTCGGTTGTTATAAAAAAAAAAGGTCGGGAACTGCTGTATCTGTCTGACAGTCACATTGGTAAAAGCAAAAGCAGGGGTTAAGGGAATTCCCAGAGAAAGATACTGACACAAGGTCTTATTATCAGACTGGGTGTAAACTCTTAAAATACAAATGTGAGATGATTGTGTCCGTCTGAACACAGAGATTTTCCTCCTGTCTTGCCAGACTAGAGACGCGTGGCGCACAGTGTAAGGAATACGAAGAGCTAAAGAACACCTGAAGAGTACAAAGTTCCGTGGTATTGTGTTATTGTAGTTTCTCTACTGAGATGTATTGAGGGTGCATTTACGGGGCATAGCTCATCTGGTGGGTTGTTCAGCCTATTTCCCGCGAATTTAATTCACGCTTAAATAGAACTAGTCCATATTGAATTGTATTAACTACATCCGATAAACCTAAAATGTATACTTGTGCAGGTGATCTTTTACAATGGAAGACCACCCCACAACTGCATATATCAGTTGTTGTTGTTTTTTTGCTCTGATCAGCACGGTGATCCTGCTACGGACTGTTAGATATTTGTTCCGCATCACATCCAGGTCTGCAGACTCTCTTAGGTGCTGAACCTTAACCCCAGCCAGCAAGATCCTCCGTACCCCCGCTATCTTCTCGGGCTCTTCGTTTGCACCTCCGGCACAGACACGCCAATAAACAGGATCTACCTGCCAGACTAGGGCGAAAACACAACGAAACCCACCACTAGCCTTTACAGAACCTCAGACACCGAACTTCCTTACGCCTCGTTTCATTTTATAGGCAATGTAGGGATTTTCACTGCGCCCTGTCTACATACTAACTCGAGTCAGTGATTTATACAGCAATGGTCTAGTTAAAACTCTGAAACCATGAAATAATTCTAGAAAAATAGGCCTAAAAGGAATTGCAAAGAGATGTCCCGAGACCTGTGATATTTTTTCAACAAGCAATTAAAACACGCTTCGCTGAAGTAGTCCGCTAGCATTCAAGTGTCTGGAACTTATTAGGTCCTGTATTGTTGGTCCGCTTGACAACAGTTTATTAAAACCATCAAATAATTTGCCTTCAAAATTTCTCTCAGAAAATACATCTCATTTTGTTGGGTACTTATTTTATATTTATGGGTTTAGTTCAGTGCTTTGGAAACATCTGTGAAAAGCGAAAAACACAGCCAGTCAACTAATTCCCCGAAGGAGGCCAAATCCTTTGCTATGAACCTCATAAATCTGCGCAGACATTAACAATTAAAAGTTACAAATGTATCTTGTTTAAATTTACATTCTTTAAAAGGTGTGCGGCCTTATCTTAACGCATCTCCAACGCCCAAAACTGGTCACAGATAATCGATTTTACGAGAATGTAATGTTTTGGCACATTAAAAATGACTTCAATCGCATTTTGTTTCTGCTTAATTTAAAACACTCTTTCTGTTGCACTAGAGGCGTAAGGAAATTATTGTTAAACCCCCGCAGTATTTCAGATCGTGTGATCTGAGTAACTGGCATCCTGTCCTGCAATCCTTGTTCTCCTCTGAGTGCTGACACCATCAGCTATATCCAAGAACCTTCACACGCTACCGCCATCCACACATCCTAACAGAAAACCTTCCACATTCCGTGGTATACTGACTAATTGCATTCTGAGTGCGCAAGAATGTTCTATGTGATACACGCTCCGAACAAAGAATAATTCAAATCCACAGCAACACGATCAACTTCCGCCATACAATTTATTACACCGCTGAAGTACAAAACACCGTCCTAACTCTAAGATATACATAGTCTCCAAACCTTTTCAAAATAAGATAGTGGGAAATTGCAGAATGGGGGCACCTGTAAGGTGTTGATCTGTTAACCACGTAATCTGTCCAGTTAAGAGGAATATAGACCATGGAAACTGAAATTTGGTCAAATTAATTCGATTGTATTAAATTATTTAACAAATCACTCGCTTAATCGATAAAAGCGAAAATGTTCCAAATCTTTAGAAGTTGGTGATTTAATAAGATGTATAAAGCCTCCTGGTTTTGAAGCATTTTCGAACTATTCAGCTTCTGTCTGCATTTCAGTCATGAAAAGGAAGAATACACATTTCGGCTCATTGTATTATGTGCGACTTGCGTTATTTAAATCTTTGCATTATCTTCAAAAGGCGATTTGTTTTCCATGAATGGAAAACACCTAATGAATGGCTTCCCTAATGTATTAAATGAAACCAATAGTTATCACTTAATGATTAAATGCAAACAAACTATCATCGATGCTATTCACTTCCCAACGTGACACAAATGACGCACAGGTGCAAATTTTCTCGGTGACAACTTAACGCACTGTATGGGCACATGCGTAAAAACTGACACTTAACAATCACACGAACGAGCAAATTAACAATAGCCTGTGCTCATATTTGTCTAAATTACTTTACATACAGGATATACATACATACAAATATTGCCTATCTAGAGCTATGAAAATATCACTTTCAACCTTACAGGCGCAAACGTCTTTGTTTTCAATGTAAATGGCGCTTTGTCATTTCAAATTGCAGACAAGCTGCCGTTTGCGTCTTGACCTTCAGACAGGTCAATAACCAAACCAAAGGAGTTCTATACACAAGCTCGAAGTATCCAAGTACCCAATCACGTTTGTGTGAATGTTCTGCTTTGTGCAGATAGCTGAATTCAATGTTAAATTTGATAAGCTCGTCTCAGCTGTTCTCGAGCGGATCTTTCCTTAAAATAACACCTGGTCTTCACATAGGAACAAAGTGATTAATGCTGTCGCCCGCACGAACTTCCCAATCACTAACACTGACAAGTTCCAAACGTTACATCCTTCTGTTTCTTTTTTATTCCATAAACCTTAGTTGCATTTATATTGTGCTTTTAAACCATTAAAGTGTCCCCCGTAATAAAAGTCAACAGATAGCTGTTGAAACATGATTAGCTGTAGCTATTACTCTATTATTAATTACTAATGGTAAGAGTAAGTTGATTGAAAAACTGAAGACGCAAGAACACCATCATAACAAATATGAAAATTAACTGTAAAAATGTTAAAATGGTAAGGAGCACTGGTCATTCCTGTGGTGCGATTGTGAGATATGTGTTTAAGGGAAAGGTGTCGGCTCCAAACGACAGCTGAGCAGGGTTTCTTCTGCGCTTTTCGCGGCTCTAGCTTGTAAAGGACAAGCATACCGGAACCGGAGAGCCCTCTGTCTGTTTGTGGTGCCTTATCTTTATTGAGCAAACCGCTCTGTGTGTTTTGCATTGGGATGGCGAAGGAATTAATGAATATCCGGCGTTTATGAGTCTGCCCTGCTCGGGAGGCACCGGACCCGATGATATATTACATACATGCTCACTCAGCGCAATTCCAAATCCGGGAACACATTTCACGTCATTTTTTCTTTATTCTTTATTATTCTTTGGTGTGGTTTGAATTGGAAAACGGACAGTGTCACCAAAGAACGGAATGCAAGGCAGAAAACAGGTTCAGTCTTGCTGAAAAGTGACATTTCGCGGTGAACGGTTGATGAAGAGCTTGACAAGAAGCGAGCACCTAACACAAAAAGTGACTATGGTGATAGTAATGATGAGAAAGTGAGATCGCAGCTGAACCTTCCAAGAGCGATCAGTCAAGTCCCCCCCGGCCCAAACTTCCTGCGAAAATAAATCACGTCGCGCAGTTTATATGAACTTGAACCGCAGGATGTCGAAGCGGCTTCTGGTAGAAAGCCAGGCGCTAAGCACACGTGTTGGCGTGGAAGTTCTTCCCGGATTGTCTGTTCAGACCGATAGGTGCCATAACTCAAAGACAAATAAAAAGATACGTTGAAATTCCCGGTCTGTGTTCTTGCACTATAAATTAATGGGATGTGGTGGAAGGGGCGTCCATCAAAGCAACGATAATCGTGATCACCATAGGAATAACGTTACGTATTTATTAATAAGGGCCGTTGCAACACAGTTTGCATTTATTGAGCAATCAAGTTTCTGTCTGCAGAAAGCAGACCGCCTCTCGCAAGGGTGAACGGGATAATGAAAAGACGCTGAAAATAATTACGTACTCTGAGAAAAAATGCGTTTTAAAAGTTCTTTATTTGGAAGGGGTGCTCAGTGTAAGGTATGGCCCCGTGGGTACTCCGGGACTCGATTCACCCCGTGAATTGCCGACACTTCTCTCGTGGTACGGGGTGAGGTCAGAGTCCCTTCTGCGCTTGGTTTCGGGAGGTCCATCACCCCCAGACTCTCACACACTCACACACACCGGCTCTCTCTCTCTTCGCCACCCCCCGCCTAACTCCCCCAGCCCCCCCAGTTGTGGGCACTTGTGTTGATTTTGTGGAGTTAGGCGGTCAGGACGGTATAAAACGGAAAGACACCCTCACTGACTCTTCAGAGGCAGGTTTCAGCAACCAGGCACACACGATCCGCCCACAATACCAGTCTAGTCTGCGGCTTCGTTTCTAACATCGTTTTTCTTTCATTTCTTGATATTTGTCTGGATAGGTTCTGGTTTTGCTTCCACTGTTGATCTTAAATTCCGTCTGCAAAATAAGCGCTTTCTGGACGTTTTATTCCAGCACCTCGCTAACAGGGTTTTTGAACAGAGTAAGGTAACCCGAGACTGGGATTTTTTTTTTCTCTACTTATTCATTTCTTTTTGCATGGTGTAAGTAGGATCAACTCCACTCGTCGACCTCCACACTGCGTCTTGCTTAAACGGACCTTCTGCTGAATGGTTTTACCCGGGTCACCTCTGCATGCAGCTGTAGCCGCAGGGATGCGAACTTGCTGGTCGGTCGTTGTCCTGTGTCTCCTGAGCTGCGCGTGGCTGGAATCCGCACGCGCTTCCCGACTCAAGTCCCCCGCGCTGCCCATCCAATCGGAGAGGGAACCTCTACCTTCAAAAGGCATCGCAGGTATCGTGTCTCCTGTCCTCCGTAACCGCAATGTTCATGCAGCATTCATCACCTTTGAGCCCAGACATCGTAGGCCAGAATCCCACTGTTTTTCTTTAGATGTAATCACTAAATCTGGAAAACAGGAAATACTGTTCGAAAGCTGTTTATTCCAAATTCCATGTATTCAAAATGGAAACCGCATTCACAAAGGGTTTCAGTTACTATTCATGTTGAATTGTTCTGCGAGTCCAAATATTTATTTTGATATAAGCTGCGTGTTTTTTTCTAGATCTCATCTAGCACTGCCAAAGAAGACAGTATGTCCGTTTTGTTTAAACGTGTAGTTGTAAACCACTCGATACTCTTTAAAGTGAGAGAGGGAGTTGGGGATGATGTGGGAAAGATTTACAAACCATTGCTTGAGGTGGGGGAACTGTTGCTTGTTTTTAGACGCCAAAGATAACAGTTCAAACTCTATGTGTTAGTGCTTCGGGGATACTAGTACTTTCCTTCAAGTGTTTATCATTTACATTACGTGTTTGAAGTTTGTCCTTTGTATTAAGGCATAAAGCAATAGTACAATCGTATCTTATTTAAGCTCTGATGGATTCCAGGTCTACATTAATGAGAAAATAATTAATTGTAGCTCCCGTGTTCTCTTCTTCGTATTGTCATCCTCATCCTTATCATTAGAAGCAGCAACAGTCAACAAAGTCTTACAGTTATTTCACATTATACTGTACATTTTCTATCATTAAAACATGACTAAATAACGTTACAAAGCCAACCAAAACTGGTAACGGTGCTATGCGGTGTATTAGTCAACATTTAGAAACCTTCCTTGATCCTGGAAACCTTAATCAATAGAATTTCCATTACAGTCACTATGATTCCTTCAGGAGTCACGGGGCTGCAGCGCTGCCAAGCAGTGATTTATTTCAAATGTTTGTAGCAGGAATATTGTCTTCAGCCTCCGTCTGACTCGACTTGACCGTTTGAAGTAGGCACTTAATGAAAGAATAATGGGAACCAGCTTGTTAGCAGCTACGGCAACCGCATAATATTCGCGTCAACAGTTGTGAACCCCGAGCCTCGGCGGCAAACCCGGAGCCCGCGCGCTGCGAGTGGTGCCAGCTGAAGCCCGGCGGGCTGGAAAGGCGAGACCGCCGGCGTGACCCGTGTCAGCTGGGTCCGGCACCCCTGGCTTCGCTTTGCTAACCACACTGTCTTGTTCTGCAGTTGCTGTTCTGTTTTCCGTTTTTTTTCCTACCGAGAAAAAACATGCATCCAGGGAATTCGGGAAAATTGCACACAGACAACTCAATGCCCCGAGGCCCCATAAAACACTGAATTCTATAGGAAGATTCCTTCATGTAGCTATTATTAGTTTTCTGAGTCCCTTATCATTTCCCTGGACAGTCGTCTACTACAAAGCTGAGATTTATCAGAAACGTTGAAGAAACCTTTGAGCATTAGGGTGTCTCTGAGACTTAGTCCTTAACTTGAAAAAAAATAATAATTCACTAAAATGAATCCAGGCCTTGCGTTGTCTGCGACGCATCCGCCGATACAAGCCAAATTCTTCGTCATTCAGTCTGACGCCAATCTACGAATTTGCAACACTAGTCTTACGCTTTGGTCCAGCATTGTTAACACGGTTTGTATTTATGGGGAAAGATCGCAAAGCACGGCTGCAGCCTCCTTCCATTGGCCCGCTGTGCCCTAAGGATTTCCGTGTTGCACTTGATGCCTCGATACAGGGAGGTCGGTAGATCGCGTGTTATAAGTCGGCCCCTTTTCTTCCGAGGGCAGGTCAGTCTTTCAACATTACACCTGCCGTCAGTTCCAGGTACGGAAAATAACAGCCGATGCTGCGTACATGGAAATACACTGTAGCTCATAGTGATGATAGACGAACAAACAAAAAAGCGCAGGTCAATTTAAATACACAGAGGGCACTCAGAAGTAGTTTTCTGTTCGTCAAAATAAAGGAACGCTGTTGTTGCAAAGACTATACGACTAGTGTTGGGTTTGGAAAAGCACTTCTCAACAAAGACCAGACTACGAAAGAGGCTGGCCTGTGTCAGTTGAAATGTTTAGATAACATGTGAAAGGTGTCTTGCTTAAAGCGTGTACCCCATTAACCCAGCTACAACTTCGTGGTCTCTGTATAGTGCACGTTCTCCCATTACGGATTCCTTTCCAGGCCTCCTTCACATCTCCCCTGCTGTGATAAATCGTCCCGGATTCCAGTGTTCCGACGGGCTCAGGAGGAACTTCTCAGTAACTGAGGGCGCCTCGATCCTGCTCTCTGATTCGCTCTTGTGTCGTTTCAGGCTGTTCGTTCGGAGGGCGGTTCTATGAGCTGGAGGACACTTGGCATCCGGATCTGGGGGAGCCCTTCGGGGTGATGCACTGCGTTATCTGCTACTGCGAACCAGTAAGCACAGCGGCATAGTGTTCAAGCAGTTTTAACTGAAGCTGTATACTGTTTTCCGAGTGTTTCCTATTCTGAGGGAAAGCAATGAGTCAATGGGTGCAAAAGATTCACGCTTTACTTTATATAAACTAAATAAAGAACCCTTTATAGTTGTCTCTTCTTCTTCATTATTATGGACTATATTTCATAATAATGAAATATAGTTTCATTAATATAGTTTCACTATATTTTTATAGTGTGTGTAGCGATGTTGCAAAATCTCGATGCATTATGAAATGCAGATGTTTTATTAAATAATTTATACGTTAGCAATTTGCTGCTTGCAATTATTTTTATTCTTGGCAGGGGGCACTTGCTGTTATAGACGGGGTAAAAAAAAAGTTTCCGTGAAGAAAAGTAGAGACTAATCTGTTTTCTTTTGAAGCGGTGCTGTTAAAGGCAAGTTGTACGATAGGATTAACAAACCAAATGACCTTCATTTTCCACTTCAATGAGCCATTTCACTCCATCAATGCGGGCGAGCAGGCGGGGAAGGGGGAGGCCGTTTCTCAAATTAGTCTTCAGAGGCCGCGGTGATGAGCTTTGTTCTGCTTTGACACTCTCTTACCGGGCTGCTGTGCGGCACAATGCACAGCTCGGAGTGTCATTAGCGAATTAATACAACCTCCCCGCTCAGTAACTGCTCTGTAATTTGACGTCAATATTGACCAGAACTCGATTGCCTAAATAACCATTAGTTAAGATATATTAGGTCTACTCAAAGAATGCAATGTCGGAAATCGGACGTTACAACCCGACTCCTAGTGATTTCAGTTTGTTCTTGAAATAATATAAGATCCCTTTTTCTTATCAGAATGTCCAGCAGCTGTCTCCGTTTTTAGAAGCGGTAAATTGACATTTTACATTATAGGGTACAATATGGTGCTAATAATGAATATATTTTTTACATTCACATGTTGCTTCAGGAACCTCTAAGAATGACTTTTGCGCTGTTGTACAAAACAGGAAGATTCGATAGTGATGGAGGTTCTTTGTGCTTTGATGGCGGAGTGGAAGGTCGTTTAGTCTGATAATCCGTTGTTAAGAGCAGATGAAGATGATACAGGTGGTGCTTCAAATAAACCTGTGCGATTTGTTTTAACCCAGTTGTTGTTTTCCAATACAGCAAAGAAACAGACGGAAAGTGTTTGGGAAGGTGACCTGTAAAAACATCAAGCAGGACTGTCCGGAACCGAACTGTGACGAGCCCGTCCTCCTGCCGGGAAACTGTTGCAGGACCTGCCCCAAAGGTAAGGCCCCGGCGTGGGGATTGCAGCGGGGAGAGAGTTTCTTAAATTTTGGTCCTTTTTTTCTTTGCACTGACTTGGTCCGTCATTCCTATAATGCGGTTTATGTGAAAATTTTAAAAAGCAGTTAATAATTTATAGACTTGAAGTTGTCTACCATGATAATGTGAAAAAAGAGACCTTGACGTCTCTTGCAAGGAAATTGTACCGGAATATTTCGGGGGCGGATTGCTCGGGTACGCGTGGTGTCGTTGTAGTGAACACGTACTTATCGTAGTCATTCTGCATATTGTAATGCTGGTGTGTTTGTTTTGAAACTTTAAATCTAAATTTTACTTATTTATTGTAGTTTATTTATAATTCCGTGTTTATTGACTTGTCCACCAAACCACGTTCGCTTATGAAGGTTTCCAGGGTGTAGTCCCGCCTAGTGCACTGGGCTTCTTGGATAGGCCGAGAGAATAAGCGGTTTTCCCGTAGTCGACCAGTCGATGAATGATTACATAGATAAAAAGCCGTAAATTGTGACATTTCAGTTTTGAGTATCACTGAGAGGCATTAAAGTATGCACATTTCATCATAACACAACGGAATGTAAAACAGCGCACCTTTGTTCCCGTTTAATGCACGTGTCAGCAACAATTTAACGCGTAGGGCATGGAAAGAAACAAACTTTGTTATAGAAACCAGAGCAGAGCCAAGTCCTCAAGTGGGATTGAATTGAAAGCGACAGGCACTCCCCGCCTTGATGCTTTATATGGTGATGGCTGTTCTGCAGGATTTGGGAACTGTTATTTCAAAAGCAGGACATCTGCACAGTCAGCCTTTCAAACCAATTGGCCTCAAAAAGGGAAAAGGAAAAACCCCCAACCCCCGGAAAAGCAACGGGTACTATCATACCTATCCCACCCTGACAAATTCATTACTGGACTTGTCCAGACCCACAAGACCAGATATTTAACTGACACAATGAAATGTATCATGCCAATGTAAAGAAAATGTCCATACACAGGAACAAAGCTTGACTTTCATATCTGGGAGAATAGTATTAAATTGGACGTGTAAAAGATATTTCTTTAATGCTTAATCAAATGTCACAATTTACTAGGTTTGCAACCTGTTTGAAACTAAATGCTTATTCACCTGATATATCATGATCAGTTTCTTAAATATTTCAGCTGTTAATAGAAATACAATCATTTAAAAAAGGTAAATTCTCATGTAATTATTTCCAGATGCATTTACTTTGCCTTAAAATTGAAAGGACGTAGATGTCATTATTGGTTTATGTGGACATCTGCTGGGCTCAGTCTGATTAGGAGATGAGATGTACAAAAACAATATTATCTCCCATTTTTGAACACAACAAGTCTTGTGCTCAACTCTTTCAAGAAAAGCTCATTTTCAAGTGTGGATCTCCCAGTCAAAGATAAAAGACTGAGTCTGTAGCAGTATTTTGTTGTAAAGAATTTTGGATACTTAATCTTGAAACCACTGAAAAGTAGTATAGCTCCTTAGGATATTTTTGATGCACTGTCTTTCTAAGTGGTAATGTCTTGTGTGATGCTAACCACAAATGATGTCGGAATTTGGAGAAGGAAACGTTCACTCGTAGTTGTAAAGAGCAGGAATGCGGAAAATGGTTATGAGAGATTTGCATGATGGATCCTAGATATTCTTACTGCATGCAAGACTTACATTTGCATGTTAGTGCAGTGACACTTTATAGCCTTGCTTCATCTGATCTCAGAAGGTACTGTATGTGAGGTTGGTGCAGGTCAGTACTAGGACGGGAGACCTCTAAGGAAAACCACGTCACTGCTATGAGTAGTGTCAGTAGACCAATAAGTGCTGATCTTACCTTTGGACCAGAATGTCCAAACCTGTGCCTCAGTATGGTGACTGGAGACACTGCTGTAAGAGATGAGATGTTACACTGAGTTCCCGACTGCTTGATCTGTGGCACTGTTCATCAGTCCAGGGGTTAATGCAGGTGGCCTGGCTAAATTTCCCTTTGCTTCACAGGCTGAACTAAGGGTGAACTTTAGGGAGGCTTGTTTGTACAAGCCCAGCTTTTCACTTTTCTACTTGACTGGCTGTGGCATGTCACCCAGTGGGGGCCTGCACGTCAGATGAAGTGTGTCCCTTCCTATGTGTGAAAGTCTTCTGGAACCTTTGAAATGAAAAGCGTTGTACAAATCTAAGGAATTATTATGAGTGGCTTGATGAGTGTGTGGGGAGCCAATGCACACCCTTGCCCACCTCCTGGTTGCTGATGTTTTAATTTTGTCCAGGCTGAAGTTTTTTTTTTCAAGCTCTTTCATTATTGTTACATTCCCAGCATCTAGCCATAAAAAATAAACCCAGTTCTCTGACATTTTGAAGTGAAGAGGTGTGTGAGATTTGCTGAACTTTGATTGTCAATGCCTGATCAATGGAATAGTTACCTAAAGCTTCATACATTTAAATCAAATGAGAATTTATATAGGTCCCCGACTTATTTATTTAATTGCTTAATTTGCCCAATCGCAATTAATCATTGTTGGAGTTTTAACCAGTTGGCAGTAATGGAGAACTGATTTGTAATCTGATACTGAGTGAAGGTGGTCACCCCTGTAAATGAAAGACGGTGTATTTACAAAGCAGAACTCCACTGGTACACATTGCCTGTAACACAGCCCCTGTTGCTGCTGGTTACCTCTCCTTGCAGAGCCAGAGAAGAAGGTGGTGGACATGATATTTGACGGGTACGAATACTACCAGGAGAAAGATGATGATCTCCAAAAGACGTACAATGACCGCTCCTACCTGAGCTCAGAAGATGTCTCCCCAGGAGAGAGCAGGACAGGTGAGGCCCTGCCTGCCACCCCTTTTCCACCTCCTCTTTCTCATTTCTTCTCCGTCCTCATCCTATCCTTGTCCCTCTTCTTCCCCACTCCCTGCAAACTTAAACTTGTCAATTTGAAACGCCTTGCATGTCCTAATCGGTAATTGCATCTTTGTTCCTCATGCCATGTGAATGTTATTTCCCTATAAATGACAACGTCCCAGTATTGCCCTGAATTGCTTGTTGTGCAAACCTTTTTGTGGGTTGTATTATGTTCCACATGTGTCCCTGAGTGCTAATTATCCTTGCCCTTTTTCCTTCTTCAAGACTTTGTTGCTCTCCTAACCAGTACTGTGAGCTCCCGGTCACCCATTTCCAGCGGAGTTGCCCGTGCAAGGTTCACTCTGTCCAGGACCAGCCTGGTCTTCTCCATCACATTTGAGAGGTACTGTTCACTGTTCTGCTGTCTGCCTCTCTGTGGAGCTGATTTTTATTAGTGAAGCATTACCGCCATTCATCATGAAGTTGAAAAAGTTGCCTTCCCTGTTTCAGAGTGGCCCGTCCGAGCAAAGTGCACTTCCTTGATGGAGATGGCAACGTGGTCTTTGAATTTCGAGTGCCAAAGACCGCGTCTCCAGAGAGCAATATGGTAAGTGCAGTTACAGATACAGATGTGCTACAAATGTGCTGGTCAGTGCCACGGTGTAGAGACCCTTACAAAGTAACACACTAGGAGAAGTGAGATCAAGTACAGTCTAACAGACCTATCCTTCAACGCACTAGTCGGACGCCCTTAGCCTTAGCTCCACTGCATAGTCAGTGCCACATATTTCATTCTGAAACAATGAACACTTGGGTTCTGTATCTAGCAAAGCATGCAAAGGACAGAGGAAGTATAAACCGCAGTAATTAAAACAACCCAACACATGACACTAATAAAGAAAAACACTGTAACTGCATGCATATAACGTAAGGAATCATTTTACTGGTAGCTCATAATCACATAAAGTTTTTGGTGGTGTCAACTGTTTTAGTTTGCTGTGGGAAGTAAGTTAAGTGAAGAAAATTGTGAATGTGATATAAAAAGTCCCGAAAATGTTGCTTACACCCTGTAATACATTGTATGTCCTCATATTGAGAAGTTATCATTTTGGTTGATGTGTTTTTATCGTTTTAACCTTGCATTACATTTTCAAAACTTTGTCATGGCTGAGGGCAAGAGAAGGGAGCAGCTGACCACCTGTGAGAGTGCAGTATGATAAATGAGGTTTGAGGCTGAAGTGCTTTTTAATGCTGACATTCTTCAAAAGCACAGCACTTTTATCAGGGAACAAGAGCTTTAAGTGAAACAGTTTGATTGGGTATGCTTCAGAATGTTTGTCTTTGGAAGAACAGAGGTTCAGTCTTTGATGCTGTTGAGGATGTCTTGTTCTATAATGGATTGATGTAGATACATTTCAGTTACATTTCCCACCAGCATGAATTGTGCTCTGAATCTGTTTCAGTAGGTAGGTGGCCTCACTAACTGGTCTTTGGTACTGTATAGGGTTCTCCTCTCACCTGAACATGACCTCAGAATTTGGTTTAATGGGCTGGAATGCCAAAATACCAAGACAACAATGTAATTTTTTAAATTCTTATGAGCATACAGTATTAGTGCATAACACAGCAAAACACAAAGTAAACAGAGATGTACTCATTCAAGCTAAAATGTATTTAATAGGGATTACTGCATCATAAGAAACTGCCATGGCTCTAATACCATTTTGGCCACAAAATGACCACAAATGGCATCACATTACACAATAATCCTGTAGAAAATTCCACTGTGATGCATTCATGGGTCTCTAAATGCAGCCAAGAAATGTCAGTCTTTTTAAGAAATGTGGTTCCATCTCATAATTTACTTATATTAGTCAAATACTATTTTCTTTAAGATTAAGATTTTATTTAGTTTTGTGAAATTAATTTGAAAATGAACAATTGGCATGTGTGAATTTGCCATAGCATCTTTACTGTCACATGCGGAGATGAGTGAGCATTGAGCAATGCATTCAGAACAGCTATCAAGGGTAAAGAAGTATAGTGTAAAATATTTATGTATAATTAACATCCCTAAGCCTTCTCCAGCTGTCTCATGGCTTGATGTTTTTCATCTTCAGTCCAGATGTGCAAACACTACTTTTCCCTGGTGTTTAACCCTTGGTCTGCCTGCTCAGTTTGAAGGCTGACGCATGCACACCACAGGGTGTCATTACTTTGTGCAAGAGAATCCAAACCAGCTTGTGTTCACTGACGTGGCAGCTGAAGGAACCTGCAGTTTCTGTTGGAAGTTGTGTATTTATTTGACAGACAGTTAAAGGGTTCAATTGAAAACTAATAATCTGGAGCTACCACGAGTTGTTCTCCTCTGAGCTGGGATTTTCTCTTTTTTACGAGACCACATTACCTAACTGGCTTTTGTTCTGCTGACAACATGAAGTATGAAGGGCAGGTTTTCCAGTCCATCTACTTAAAAACACTCTAGTCATATCTGCCTCTCCTAATTTTGTTTCAGATTCCTTCCCATTTTCTTAATTGTCTTTTAATCGTCTTGGCTTGTTTTCTCCTGTCCCACAATGGAGTAAATATACTAGTTACTGATGCTTAGGTAGACTCTCACATACTAGCTCCTGGTAAATGAGACCATTAAGTGTGACTGCTGCTGCCTCCAAAGCAATGGTCCTCTCAGACAGCAAGCCCTGTCACCTGGTGTCCAGTTGTGTCCAGCCAGACCATGCCTCCTGAAACTGACCTGGCAGAACCATTAACCTGCTCCCACCCCACAGGCTGCCCATTTTCACGTCTTTCGCCATGTGTGGCTGGGTTTTTAGACATGTAGGCAGTAGTCTTTGGGAGAGGCATCTCAGAGAAGGTGATATTAATTTGCAGTGAAGATTTTCCAAAGGCCAGAGCTACAGCAGTGTCATAAAGTTATTACGTGTGGTTATCAGCGGGTGAGTGAAGAACTAAAATCGTGCCTTTTCCCTTCAGATCTGCGGAATCTGGAAGAGTTTGTCTAAATCGTACATCCGGCTGCTCAGGTCGGAACAGCTGCATGTCACCATGGTAACACTGAACAGCCAGAGGGAAGAGATCCAAGGCAAAATCATCAAGCACAGAGCACTGTTTGCAGGTGTTGTTTTGTCAGTCCTGTTTTAAGCATTCTGTGTATGTGTATATAAATCATACTGAATACTTTCTACTATCAAAATCCATTATAAGAATTATTAATGGTTTCAGCAGACTTAATTTTCATTTAATTGGACTGATTATTACATAATTAAAAGTGAAAAAGAGCTTTTATGTAAAGTCCTTTAAGCTTCCTTGAAGGCTTAGAATTGATATTGCTCAGTCCCTTCTGAGAGAGATGCAGTTCTGTAGAGTTTGTAGGTGCTTTGGAATCACAAGTCAGACTAAATACCTCAAAGTAAAAGCAATGCAGGCCAGCTTAATCCAGTTTGAATTTAAATGTGAGGTTTAAGAGCATATAGTAAAAACAAGAAAGCCTTTACTTTTCTGGGACAGAAACAGAATGCAGAAGATGGAAAGATTTGGAATATCCTTGTGGGTGTGAAATTGCTCAGAAACTGGCATCTGCTTGTGAAATGTGAGCCAAAGCACATTTTTACTTGCCTTTTTTTTACTGCCATACCAGAAACCTTCAGTTCTACCCTGACGTCGGAGGCAGAGCACTCTGGGATGGGAGGGATTGCCATGTTGACGCTGAGCGACACAGAGAATAACCTTCACTTCATCCTGCTGTTCCAGGGGCTCCTGGAGAGGAGAGAGGCAGGTGAGAGAGACAATATGAGCATCCAACATTCAGACTGTGGCAATTCCCTGCATTTGCCTGTTTTAAAATTCAGGAGGACCCTTGGAACTTGGCATATCCACAGATCTTTATACTCAATCTCTAACCTTGCACACAGCGCTAAACCAATTACTTAGAGCAGGACCTTCTGATGCACCAGGAACAGAACAACACCTTTCCAGACTGTGTCTCTCAAAAGGCCTGAGGATCCTAAAGGTCATTGTAGTATTTCACAGTAGTTCTGTAGTAATGACCACAGACATGTCAGGGGCCGGTTGTCTTGGGTTGCGGCTATTCCTCACATCACTGCAGCCAGAGGAAAGTCTGTACACAAGCCACTCTTGAATACCAAATTATCTGAATGTGATGGCAGCCCACTCCATTTCACCATTCCAGTCAGCTGTGTGTTTAATTAGCAGATCTACTGTGTGCTGAAGGGAATCCTGGGTCTACAAAAGCATAGACTCAATAAATATCCCTAGACTTTGCCATTTCAATTACTCGTACTGAGATAATTTCCCTGTATAACAGAAATCAAAAGTTTTATATGCTTAAAACCTGTAGATGTAAGCCCTGTGAGAAATGTGGCTCTAAGATGTAGGTGACCTTACTGCATGGCATTGCCCATGTGTTTGAGGGCATGTATTACACTGATGGAAAGGTGGGCTTTCTGGTGGTCAGCAGACACAGATCCCTGCTGAGCCTCTTGTTGATGATGGTGCTTTGTGTTGTCCCGACAGCACACCCCCTGGTGCCCATCCGCGTGCAGCTACAGTACCGCCAACACGTGCTGAGGGAGATCCGGGCCAACGTCACCGCCCATGTGAGTATCGCTGTGCCCCCCACACACCCCCGGCCACTGCCAGCTCGGCCCGGAGCCTCAGGGACGCGTGGCACAGCTCAGGATACTTCCATCTGTAAAAGAGAACTGATGTCCGAGAGCTCCTTGTTTTACTTATTTTGTGATTCATTTATGATTACTGCAGGGAGATCCAGGCAGCACAGTGGCGCAGTGGTTAGCATTGCTGCCTTGCAGTGCTGGAGCCCTGGGTTCAATTCTGGATCTTCGCTTGCTGTCTGTGTGGAGTGTGTATGTTCTCCCCGTGCTCACGTGGGTTTCCTCTAGGTGCTCAGGTTACATACAGACATAGTGGTAGGTTAATTGGCTTCTGGGAGAGTTGGCCCTGGTTGAAAGTACGTCAGTGTCGGTGTTTGCCCTGTGATGGACTAGCGTCCCATCCAGGATGTATCCCTCCTTGCGCCTGTTACTCCCTCATGACCCTGAATTGGATGAAGTGGTTAGAAAATGGATGGATGGATGGCTCTGAGTTCCACTACCTCACCATATAGATGGAAATTTGAACAGTTTGCACACCTTTGCCAATGAAAAGATGCAAAAAAAAACTTTCCAGGCAGGGGAAGAAATGTCGTCATGTTGTCCGCAGAGATCCAATTAGGAAAGGAAATGTGTTTTGAGCAGAAGTTGCACTTTCATCATGTGGTAATTGTTATCAAACTAATCCTTATTAATGGGCGCCTTAAGAAGCTTGAATGGACAGAGCTGAGGTGTTGGGGCTGATTGACACTCACTAAATTGAAAGGGAGCATGTCTGCTGAGATTTTAGATCAGGGCTGTGGATACGATCCATCCACCTTCCTCCTGTTGGCACTGACGTGGGGCTCTTGATGGTTTCATTACGGGATGCTGTAAATTCCCAGAGTGATGCCTTGCTGTGGTTCAGCTGGTGTTACAGCATCCCTCGAAGCCAGCAAAAGCTAAAGACTGAAGAAAAGTGCTGAGTCAGTAATTACTTTAATTATCTAGTTAAAAGCTTGGATTGGACCAAATACAGGAGAGATCTGTGACTCTTAAGGAGCATGGTGCCTGTCTACCATGTAGTGTGTCAGATACAGTGGTTGCATTGAAGAACACAATTCAGCAGCTGAGAGGATACTTCCTAGTTCAGCTTACTTCTGCACAGCTGCTTGAGAGCATTACTGTGAAGTTAAGTGGCAGCAGATCTTTTTTCGATGACTGGAAAGCTCCTGTGGCTCTCGCAGTTGAGAGAGAGAGAGGTGCTGTGCGTGAGCAGCCAGTGTAGGTGGTCCGAACTGAGCTGCTCAGATGAACACTCCTAAGCCATCAGGGCTCTATATTATCCTTGCGTTGATGGCGCCATTTATTAAGAATTCTAGGCATTTTGTTAATTAACAGGATTACCGCACATAGCTGTGGGCACTGGGTTTGATTAGCTGCCGTGCTTAAAAAAACGGAAGAAAAAATAGGCCACTCAGTTACTCGGTTCTCTTCTGTTCTCTGGCGGTCGTGTCGGTTCATTTCCTCTAGTGTACACCCGCACTCGAGATTTATGGACTGCAACAACTATTGTTTTTACTGCTCAGAAAGATGGCTCTGCTAACGCACTCCAAACACATGTCAATGGTTATTAGGCCGAGCTGTAAATCTGCACAGCAATCTGAGTTACAGGAGATCTGGTTTCAATCTGCTGGGATTTATGTGTAGAACAAGAGAGATGCTGCCTTACTGCGCTCTGGTTAGCTGTGTGGAGGACAGATAGCAGTGGTATGCACAAACAAAGAGCCCCAGATCGAATCTGGGGCAGCTGAGGGCTCAGAGGAAAGCTCTTTTCATTCTAGTTTTCTTCTCCTAGAACAGGTAGGAGCATTTTTTGACCTCCACTCTACTGCCTGAGGGATCATGACCCTCTTTTTCTATGCTTTCAGTGGGATGGCTTTTCAGATAATTCTTCTCCCTCTTCTGTGCTGAAGTTCTTTCACACAGAAAGTGGTTTTTTTGCACACTTTCAATGATGCCCAACAACAAAAATGTCTTCTGGCTACAAAAGCCGTTATTCAGTGACATTTCCATCACAGCTTCCAGCAGGGGATTTGCGCTCTTCTCCTGGCAGAGCTGTTCCTTTTCTCATTCCTGCAAACCGAGAGCTCTTTCTTACTTCTGAAGCCTTCAAAGAAGCTTAAAGGAATAAACAAATTGAGGACGGCTTCTGCGCCAGCTCTTTAAATAGAACCTGACAACATAAATGGAAGCGATGGAACAGCGTATCTAGAATTGCTGTCAAGAAGTAGACATTCACTCGTTTTGGTGAAAAGATTACTCAACCCAAGGTCTGAGGTTGAAAACTACGAGTTTGTCTTGGAAGGGCTGCAGTCACATTCTCCAGATTGTTAAAAAAGATCTGCTATAAAACTCAGGGCTTGTGTGAATGTATCTACTAATCCAAATTAACATAATTAGTGCTGCCATTCTAGTCCACTGCATTTGTTCCAAAATACCACTTTATTACTTAACTGGTATGTAGAAGGTTCCTTACAGAAATTAAAGGCAGGCACACTGGTCCAGTGCCTTGCAGAGTTGGGGCTCCAGGTTCAAATCTGGACCTGGGGCGCTAACTGCGTGGAGTTTGCATGTTTTCACCGTTTTTGTTGGGTTTCCCTGTTGCTCCAGTTTCCTCCCACTGTCCAAAGACATGCTGGAAGGTTAGTTGGTTTCTGGGAATAACTGACCTGGGATTGAGAGTGTGTTTGTGTCTGTGTGCCATGCGATGGACTGGCGTGCTGACCAGGGTGTATACCCTTGCTTGTGCCCGTTACTTGGTGGGATGGGCAGTGGCTTCCCAGTGACCCTTTGTTGGATAAAGCATTTAGAAAATGGACGGACTGTAGAGATTAAGGGATTGGTTATATCAAAGTACTGAAATGGACTATATTGGAAGGGCCGCAGACTGAGTAGCCTTGATCTAACTTCATGACAACTCAACATCTTGTCTTCGTCCTCACATTTTAGAAGTGGAAACAGGCTATACCGGGTGTGATATTCTGACTAAAAGGGCTTCACGGTTTAAGATGCCCACCAGGGGGTTTCAGATTGAATACCGTTCTTTGTCTCTTTGTCGTCTTTTCCCGCCGGGACCCCCAGGACCCTGATTTTGCCGAGGTTCTGACCGACCTCAACAGCCGCGAGCTCTTCTGGCTGTCGCGGGGTCAGCTGGAGATCGCCGTGGAGACGGAAGGGACCAACACACGGCGGATTTCGGGGTTCATCTCCGGGAGAAAGTCCTGCGACAGTAAGTGGGCAGAATGTCGCTTTCACCGGCCTCTGGAACACTCGTGCGTTCATGCATGACCATGTTGAGCATGTTGAGCCATGAGCGGGTGGATGAGGCGAGATGAGACGGTGACCTGGGGTGTCCTGTAAAGGGAGCAGTCAGCCCTGTCCCAGAGGGCTGTGGACACTGCTGGGTGTGACAGGGCTCCTGGTCAAATTCTCTCTCATGGGGGATTACAGCTCTAGGGTGGAGCTAGGCACAAAAAATTGCAGGGAAATAAAAGGGCCATCTGCTCAGATTGCAGTTCTGGTAAAAGATAACTGCATGAGATCATATTGTCTTTTACTTTAAATCGGCAGTGTTGATCTGAAAATGAAGCTTGCTTAGATGTGGTGAACTTTCTGTTCTTTATCACAAATACACTCTTTGCAGGCAGTTGTGTAGGGAAGGTTCTCCTAAACCTTAGACAGCAGATTTATTTTCAGTTGCATCACTCATTGGTAGCTTAAGTGTTAAAGTAGAAGGAAATGATACTGCATCCTGTGGTTTTAGCTTTGCAATGTTAAAGGGATCCTTAATTATGGCAATTAGGCTATTGTACAAACATTTTGGTGGTTTGCTTTTGGTAATTAGTCCTCCGAGCTATTGCTGCGGGTTTGAAGTCCAGCAGACACATGTTCCACCTTGTCTTCTCCCCTCACTGCGCTGCCAGGCTCTCTGCCTGCTGGACTGCTGCTTTTCTTTGCTCACTCTCCAGGTTTATGATTAATTGTGTAACGCTATGAATGAAGAATTCTGTTCGGCGACCAAGCTTTCCTCTAGCTCGGGGTTGACATCATTCTAAAGTCACAGCTAAAGATTTAACGTGGGATGCAGATTTCAGCTGACTCCTAACACGAAGCACAAGTAGCTAGGTCTCGTGGACGTGAAGCAACACCTCTGTCCCCTGTACCAGAAATGCCTCTCTAAATGTGAGCAATACAATATTTTCCATTTTTAGTCAAATGCAATTCCAATTTCTAGATTAAGAGGGTGGTTTTGCCATGCATGAGGAGAGAAATGAGTCTCAATTTTTGAAACAGGCTGACCATGACATATTTCTGTCTGTTACTCTTAAGTTATCATGAGGGTTCTGGCTCACTGGATAGGTGATAGCACTCTCTCACACTGATCCTCAGGGCCTTTTAGAGAATCAAAGAGGCCAGAGTCACTTCAAATCAGGAGGCTGTAACCCACATGCATACACATCATACGTTTACTTAATGCAAAGGATTCAAGACATAGAAGCTAGACAGGTATAACTGTCCAGTATAACTGACAACATCAGCACTAAAAGGATAAAAAAAATCAAGATTTAATTTGTCAAAAATCAAAATGTAATTTGCTTACCCAAGGGTTTCAAACTGTATTTCTTACAAGTCTTTGCCGTTAAAGTGTTTATTTTATAAAGGCTTTCCTGGCCTTAGTGTGTGCAGACGTTTTCATGCTATGCTGTTGTTGATGTTACGCCTGGCCAGCCCATTCAGATGTTCCTGCCCTGTTGTACAGCAGTGATAGTCCTGTATTTGCTTTAATATGCTGTAGCACGTTCACGTGAAGCCACTGACGCAGGCAGACTGACAAAAAAATGTAATGCAATTGTAAGATTAGGAAACGCAGAAGAAAGTCCAAGTTCCAGGATTTCTTGGAGGAGTGCTTTTGGCCTGCAATCTGAGTTTGTGGAATATATCCACTTGAGGAAGGCCAGCTCATCAGCTATGTCTGCTGAGATTTCGTTCTTGTACTTCTCCTGAAACTGGGGAGCTGCTGATTGCTGATCTTCACTGCTTAATTCTCTGCATTGGCAGAGGAACCCAAAAGAGGCACAAATCTCAAATTGGCGTGTAAAACCCAAACTGATGGAGCTAATCATACCTAAAGCTAATAATCATATCGAAAGCTGATTGCTAAATTGCTAGGCTTGAAAATTGTGGGGGAAATCGGTATTTAACAACAAATAAATAATATTTTTTGTTTCAAATCTGAGGCCCCTCTTCTGTGTGAGGCCTAGACCCCTCCCAGCCTCTGGGAGGCCCTGCCGATCCTGTTGATTTTCCTGAACACACTTGTGTCTGTTAAATAAACTGCACATTGTAAATGTTCATTAACAATATTATTGTGCTGATGGTTATACCTTCATTTGCTTAAGCCATAAGCACATCCAGTTGGCATGAAAAGAGGAAGTAGTCACCACAGGGGCAATGTGACAATGCTGAGTGCTGGAGCAGAGGAATTGACAGTAAGGACTAAAAATGCAGGGCAAGCCTTTTGACCACATTACAACCAACTTGGCATGTTCCCCAGCTCAGTGTAATTTTTGCAGTAACCCACCTGTGAACAGAATCTTGCCATTCTAAAGATCTTTATTAGTTTTGTTCTTTGATACTATGATTAATTCATGAAATGGGTTATTTTTGGCTACGGCCAAGCTGCAGTACTTGTGTTGTTTTTTTTTCCAGCACTGAACTTGTGACTCTAATTACCATCATTGCTCCAGGTGTTTCCGTCATCAGTCGGGGAAAAGCATAAGCTGATGTTTTGTCCAGGTTACAATGTTGTAGTGATGTGTTACACGTTGTTACCGTGTCTTACGCGGTCCAGTCTTGCCTGTCCCCCTCAGTCCTGTCCCCTCGTGTTGCCCACAGCTATCCAGAGTGTGCTGTCCAGTGGAGACGCTCTGACTCCTGGCAAGACAGGTGCAGTGGGCTCCGCTGTCTTCAACCTCCATGACAACGGCACTCTGGACTACCAGGTACTAAAAACCTGCCCACGATTTTGAACTTGACGTGAGTTCAGGAAATGGCAGACCACTTCTGGGTGAAGTCCTTTGTCTTTTGTTTTGTGGGAACCTTGAAGCATTACCCAAAAATGAGAGACGGAGAGAGGCAGCCAAAAAAAAGAAAAGGCTACACAATGGAATTAAGAGAGAGATGGTTAAAATAATTAAAATGGTGGAATTTTGGTATTTTCACAAATACTGCAATCATTCTTTTGCAATAATGTCGCCTCAGACTACACCATCACTATTGTTATAACATAATGGGGCTTTCAAGGCATATGTCATGCATGATGATGGACAGAATGTCTTATTTTGGCACAAGATAAAGTGATAGGATGAATACAGTTGTGGGTGGGGGTGAGAGAGAGGGGGGAGAGGCAGAGGGAATGGATGAGTGCCCTAACCACCCTGCCATGTGTCCAGGTACAAGTGGTGGGCGTGTCCAGCAAAGTGGTTGGCGTGACGATCGAGACCAAGCCGCGGCGCAGGAGCAAGCGCAACGTGCTGTATGACCTGAGCACAGAGTACAGGGAGGGCCGGGCGGTGGGGGCCTGGAGCCGCCTGGAGGCTCGGCACATCCACATGCTGCTGCAGAACGAGCTCTTCATCAATGTGGCTACGCTTGACCACCAGGAGGGGGAGCTCCGAGGACAGATCCGCTCCCTGCTGTACAACGGACTGGAGACCAGGAGACTCGGTGAGATACCTTGCCCTTTTTTCCATTCAGCTTTTCAAAGTTGATATGTTCAAAGTATTGCAGAGGAGTAGATTGGGAAAAACCATATATTTTGTAGCGTTAATTGTAATCTGTATATTAAACATTGCTGTGCTGAAAAGCTGCCTCTGCGTTTCTCTGCTCATCCTGATCTGTGTCTCCACAGAGCTCCCAGTCCCTCTGGCTGGCCAGATTGTGTCCCCTCCTGTGCAGACCAGTGCAGGTGGCCATGCCTGGGTATCTGTGGACGATCAGTGTCACCTGCATTATGAAATCGTGGTGGCTGGGCTCAGCAAGAGCGAAGACGTCACCATCAATGTTCATCTCCACGGCTTTGCAGAGATTGGCGAGCTGGATGACAACAGCTCCACACATAAAAGGCTCCTCATGGGCTTCTATGGCTCCCAGGTATGCAAAAACATAAAGACAGAGACCACAGCAGAAATCAAATCAGTGCACACTACATGTGTATAGTACTCAGACAGACAACACAGTGGCAATCATATCAGTATACACTGCATGTGTACAGCATCTGAAAACACAGTGAGAGTCACAACCGTGCACAATGATAAATTGGCAGTGACCCGCACAGAACTTCTACTAAACTCATGTTTAGTGGAAGTGATCTGTTTCTTATGAAGGTGCTCTATATCTGTGTCATATTATGCTTTCCATAAATGTAATTACTAGTCTTTCCAGTAACTCCTTGCACATTTAGGTAGGATAAAATAAATAAATAAAAGATTACATAGTACATAGAATATTTGGCCATTCTTGCTGTTGTTGCTCTTCATTTCACAAGTGTGATGGTAAAATCTATGCATGTTTCTGCACACTGCCTGCTTATCTTGGAAGACTCCGCAAATTGCTGTGGGTGTGTGGAGAACCCAGCCAGTCATGATTTCATTCCTGAGTCAGAGGGGGACATTAAAGAGCAATCCCAACGGGCTTCTGGGATCACAGAACTACTGAGAACTGGATAAGCAAAATGGGCCAAACATCTGGCCCTCATCTGTAACCTTTCTTGCATTCTCCTGCCTCTGGAAAATGACCTGTGTCCCTGCCCGTGCGCCATATTTGTCTGTCCCTAGGCTCAGGGTGTGCTCAAAGACCTTAGCATGGAGCTCCTCCGCCACCTGGACAGAGGGACGGCCTTCATCCAGGTTAGCACCAAGCTGAACCCCAAGGGAGAGATCCGAGGACGGGTAAGTCAACAGCATACACAGTGACAACGGAGACCAGCACTTGGGGTCTTGGGGCATTTCCAGATAACATTTTCAAGAGTCATCAAGTCATGTGATATTGATATGAATTATCTGCAAAGTACTAAATGAGCTAGATGGGTGGAATGGTTTCCTCTCATTTGTACCTTCTTGTAGCCCAGGAACCCTGCTGTTGCCTTAATGACACTGAAATGGAACAGGGTTGTGGGAATCTGAGGAAGAGGAATATGAGGTCGAAAATTGATTTAATTCAATCGCCATAATATTCAATTTATGAGATCGCCAGTGAATAGTTTGTCCGCATCATCCTTTCTGTGAAACTGATCCTCACAGATACTGTGGGTGTAGACTGGATTTTTTGTATTAGTCAACTGGATGGGATAGCCGGGCTTTTTTTTTATTAGAGTCAAGGGTGCAGCCCCTCCGCTGGGCATTTGCAGGGCCTCAGTCATCAGCCACGGGAGATATCCTGTTGAAAAACAAGCTCAGCAGGAGCTCAGAAACCATGGGTTGCCGGTATAGCAGCCCCCAGCACTGCGCTGGTCTCTTCCAGGCCTCAGAGGAGGGAAACAAGGGGCGGTAGGCAGGCAGCAGGGACACAGCAACGGCTGGAATCCAATAAAAAGAATATTTTATAGCTGCAGCTAAACGTTCCCCCTTCTCAGAAACCCAATGTGTTGAGTAAGTTGCTGAAGGAGACAGCTGGCTCTGCTCCACCAGGACGGGGGTGAGGTGGGGCGCATGGATCAGGGCGTGGGGTTGGAGGGTGGCGAAAGAGGAGGCTGAAGTAAATTTGAAAATGCGCAAGAAAACAGGGAAAGGCGCATTTGTATCTTCTAAAGAAAACATATTTCAAAAAAAGAAAAAAAAATGGATTAGAAAAACATTCTTAAGGATTTGGGAGAGAAAGGCATTTATTTCCTTGACTCCAGCCAAGACGTTTGCGTGGAATATTGGTCTGTGGAGCTGCCAGCAGACAAGACATCCTAAACAATCCAGCCGCCTCAGGATGAGTCCCTGCTTCCTGGAGCCTGTTATCTCTCGGGCTCTTGTGGAGTACTGTACCTCTAGGTGATACAGATTCAAAAGACAGAACTGTAACCGTTTCTCCAGAAGTGTCAGAACCATTACTTACATCTCAGTTTCCTTGATTACATTTCATGTTCTCTCTCATCCCTTTGCCTAATGTGCTGGGATGTGATTAATCTTTTTCTGATGTCCCTGTCTAGAGATCTTTAGTGCATATCGATCGGCCTTTGGCACAAGATGTTAACCACCTCACCCTTTTTTTTGCCCTGACCTTGTGAATGTGTGCCAGTGTGGAATATTACTAAACCTGCTTTTATACGTTCAGAAAAGACTACAAGCACTTAAGGCTTGTAGACAGTTGCTCTTTATCTGTGTGTGTGTGTGTGTTGACATTAATAGGTGGGTGTGGGTGCTCTGTATAGTGACCTAAGGAACACCTAAATCACACACCGCTGTTCGTCCTCTCTCTCTCCACAGGTGCACGTGCCCAACAGATGTGAGGCAGGACCTGCTCTGGACCTGAGTGACAAAGAGCTTGAGGACCCTCTCTCACAGCAGTTGCGGCGAGACCCCGAGGAGATGAAGAAAGACCCCAACACATGCTTCTTTGAGGGGTACTACCGAGCTCACGGCTCCCGCTGGACCCCTGACTATAATAACTGCTTCACCTGCAGCTGCCAGGTACTGTACCCACCACAGGGAGGCACTCTGAACGGGGGGGGTAGTACCCTGTACGATGATGCTTTTTAAGACCAATAAAATACTTTGAAATGATGCTCAAGGCAGAACGCTGCTATACGTAACAAAAATGGACGGCTCTGATGAAATGATCTCTTTTTGATTGATTTTAAGTTGCATTGCTTTGCAAATCTTTTGATTAAACTCGGTACTTCCTGTATTGCTCTCATTCTGTTCACATAGCATGTCCTGTAGTAACTTGAATCTGGAGAGTGCGTTGAAAGTATATACTTCATCATTTGAGATCAGGACCTGGCTTTGGTCTTATGTCCTGATTAGGTCAACGTTTAATTTATCCAGTTTTTCTAAACATATAAATATTACATTAACATCCAAATTGTAAGCTGTAAACAAAATATTTAAAGAGCAGTTTTGTTTAGTGCTGTGTACTAATCCATGCTAGTCAGAGAGTTTGAGATCTCATTGTCCTCCCTTTTGCTTCTGCAGAAACGCACTGTTATTTGCGACCCTGTCATCTGTCCCGTCCTGACCTGCAAGCAGACTGTCCAGCCAGAGGATAAGTGCTGTCCCGTGTGTGAGGGTAAGGCCACTCCTTCTCCCTCTGCAACCCCCCCACTCCCCCATGTGCTTTGGAAGCATCTTCCACAGTCAGAGATCCTAAACTGAAACAGCTGCTGCGATGGGGAGTAATGAGCAGAAATTTCAGAACTAGTTTGTTTATTTCAGACGGGAATCAACACATACAATGTGAGGACAAGATCTGAAACTTACAGCAGATTCGGCATGGATATTGAAAAAATACTTTTACAGAGTGAATGAATACTTTGGGCAGCTGGGTGGCATGATGATTTGTGCTGCTGCCTCAGTGCTCTTGGGTCTTGGGTTCTGTTCCTGGCTCAGGGTGCTTCTCTGGGGAGTTCGCTCTTTTTCCTATGTCCACATTCATAATCTCTAGGGTCTCCAGTTTCCTCCCACATTCCAAAGACATGCTGGCTAGGTCATATGGTGTCTCCAAATCGTGTGTGAACTGTGATGGACTCGTGTCCCATCTGGGCTGTGGTACTGCATTGGGAAAGGGTACAACGAGGGTCTGGATAGGATACAATTCTGTTTCCAGGATTCCACAGCTGTTCACAGGTCTTACCGATGAAGGATGCATTGATGGAGTTCATAACACATGATTTCATGCAGAAAATAATACTCTGGGATGTTTGAAGAGCTTTTCAGAGCTGATGATAGAAAGTGTCAAGCTCTGAGGAGCTGAATGGCCTGTTGTCATTTAAAGGCAGATTTCTTGGTTCCTATATTCCTGTTTCAGTCTGTATTCCCCTTTGAATGCACAAAAATGAATCCTGAAAACCTTCAAGAGGGGAACATATAATCTTGGAAAGCTCAAGAGAATGGTAATAGCAGGGTGATCATAGTCTTAACCAAAGCTAGATTGTAATTGAATGCAGGATCATACTGTATGTTGAAATACCACATATTCTCCATTTCACCTTTTCTCTCCCTCTCCTTCCTACAGAAACGAGAGAATCCAAAGATATCAAAAGTTCAGAGAAGTCAGAAGAACACCCTGAAGGTGAGCTCGCGGCCTGTGCAGGAATTTCTGTTGTACCATCAGTCGAGTTGAGTCTGTTGAGTCTGGAATAGACACACTTGCAGGAAGCCCCTGCGGACGTCGGGAAAATGGGCCAGATGGCTTCCCTGTCATTTGCGAGTTTTCCTCTTGCCCCCTGGGCAGCTGGTCCCACTCTGCAATAAGCTCATTGTGGTTCATGTATCTTTCTCCATTCCAGGTTGCTATTTTGAAGGGGATCAAAAGATGCACGCCCCTGGTACCACCTGGCACCCCTTCGTCCCACCGTTCGGGTACATCAAGTGTGCCATCTGTACTTGCAAGGTGAGTCTTTTGTTCCATTGGACTTTTGTATTTGTTGCTACTTTGAAGGTGGGTTAGATAGAAAAGTAGCAGGGATTGTACTTGCTAAATGAAACAGAAGTTGAGAACTGGGCCCAAAAACATCCAATCCTAACCATCAGTCAAATATTTTTGTTTCACCTGGGTAAATGTAGGGACTTGCATTTACCACTACAGGCTACCGATTTAAGACGCTGACAAAATAAAAGTGAACAGATCACAAAACCACAGACCTCTGTGTGCATGAATACATCTTTTGAAGATGGCACTGGGAATGAGGCTTGTTCCAGTACCATGTTTCTGCCCTGCCTTCACTGTCCATCTGCTTTCCCTAGGGTGCCACCGGAGAGGTACACTGCGAGAAAGTCACTTGTCCGCCGCTCACCTGCAGTAAACCGATCAGACGTAACCTGTCCGACTGCTGCAAAGAGTGTCCAGGTACAGAGCCACTCTGCTATGTTTTCACATGCTTCACACGTGGGAATTGCTCATGACGCATCTGCAGTCCATTCTTATAGATCATAACACAGAGTTTATGAGCGTCTTCATTGGAAAACGTCTCTTCATGGATTTCACATCGAGCCCTATACTCAGGGGTTTGTGTGCAGCTGCCCAGCAGTGACCACAACATTAGCAGGGCGTGTTTGAAGTTGGCCAATCTTTTCTTGACTTGTCACAGCACTATGACCCCCTGTCACGGTGGTCGACTGGGTTTGAAGTGTTTCATCAGCGAGAACTGCAATCTGGTGGCTTGTGGTCACCGTTTCCATCACTGGGCTCTCGAATATGAAAAGGCCTTGACAGTGCACACTCAAACACACACTCACGTTGTGTCTTCAGCTCTCCTGGGCTGCTATGTTGTAGAGCATTTGAGAGATAGGTTTGTTAAGAGCCAGTGTTTCCAATATGGTATGAAAAATAATTGGTTTAAAAAAAACTTTTGTGAAAAAGTCTACAGTAGAGTATGCAGCTGAAATGTCCTTGGGAGTCATCTATAAGAAGTGGAGACTACGCGAGGTTCATATATAAGCTACATGAGCTAACATACCTTTTTCTTCTTATGGAAGCCTCCCAAGACACCTAAGCTTTCACTCAGGAATATAGACAGCCCCCTGACAAGTCTTATTCAATAATTGTACCTCCTCATGTTTGAAGGGGTATAAAGGAGGAGTATTCAGTGCTCTGAAACTTTGCCTTAATAACATGTACAGCCTTAGAACAGAGATAAAACACCAAAAGATCTCAAAAGAGAACTGACTGGAGACCCCCTTTACCTGGTGGCTTGGGATTCATGCTTCATGGGATAGCTGGTGCAGATACTCATGCCCAGTGGGGGTTTTAATACCAGATGGCACCGCAGGACCATGTGAAACCTGGACACTGCTTTGATGGATTCTCAGTTTTCTGTGGCAGGGCTCTGGAACAACATCATGTAGTTTCTGCGAAAAACACGATGTAGCGTAGCAGGCAGTTTTGATGCTGCAAGGTCGTGGCTCTGCCTGAGACTCTCTTCTTCTCTTCTTCACTACACAGAGGAGGCGAAGGACTCCCTGGAGCACACGGAGATGATGCAGGCTGACGGGACACGCCACTGCAAATTTGGGAAGAATTATTACCAGGACAGCGACAACTGGCACCCACATGTTCCACTCTTGGGGGAAATGAAATGCATCACCTGCTGGTGTGACGTGAGTATCCGAAAGTCCTGCCTCACATGGTTGTGAGGTGTCAAGCTCTTGCTGAATTCCCTGCTTGTAATGAATAATGTTCTCCCCCGTTGCTGATAAATCTGATTCTTTCTCCATTCTCAGCACGGGGTTACCAAGTGCCAGAGGAAGCAGTGCCCTGTATTGACCTGCAGTAATATAGTGAAGAGAGAGAACTCATGCTGCCCAGAATGCCAAGGTAAGGACCCCAGAGACACTGCCCTTCAGCACCTGGAGGTGTTGAAGTCTGGACCACTTTAACAACAGGGACTGAACCCAGCTCTGGATCACAGTCCAAGATTGCCTAGAGTTAACACATCTCCTTTTCGCCTTCAGTTTTGCTCATCTGCACTGTCATTTATCTTTCTTTTTAGTGGCAGCTGGAATGGTGTCTTTCCCTTAAATCCATCTAGTTTTCCTTCTCTAAGGTCCCAGATTCATTCATTTTGTGGTACTTATATTCTTTGGGACTGCAGAGGAGGTTTTAACCTCAGAGGTTCTCCAAATATTTGCCAATATGGAACTTAAATTGCTTAAAACAGAGAGGGAAGAGTGTTAATTACATGACAGTCTGTAGTACTGTGGGCCACCTGACAGCTAGAATTAGATAAATGTCAGAGCTAGATGCTTGCACATATGGCAAGAAATACTGTACCTCCTTATAATAGTTTAATATGATTAGAAATGAAATGTGATTTTACATTATTATGTAAAATACATTATATTATATCCTGAAACCCATACTGTTTATACTATCCATAGCCATACTCATAAATATCCATATGTGAGTTTATAAATATTTGCATGTGACACAGACGTTTCACTTGTAGAAAGAAGTAAGCCACTATGAAGATCACCACTGACTAATCAAGGTCTCCAAAAAGTGCCTCTTTCATTAATATTGGTGGTCATAGAAAAAGTGCTTTGATTGAACATTAAAATAAAGGATGGATAAGCTCAATGCACCTTGAGAGTCATATCACACCTCTAACCACAAGCACAACAAGAAATAGTAGATTCATAATCATTCTTCAGGCATTTCAGTGTCTTCTTATGACTGAAATCTTTTGGAAACAGTAAGATGCATATTATAGTTTGGAAATATCTGTGGGTTCATGATCTATGTCCCCATGGGCTATGTTACCCCGCTCAACTTTAAAGAACTTTTGCAGGTGCATTAGATATCAGGGGGATATCAGGATTCTTTTTAATTTGAATTGTTTTTTTTTCGTACATAGACGCTAACTCAAAAGAAGAGAAGGCACAGCTGACACTACGAGAGAAAAGGCGAAGCTGGAGATATTAAGCACATACAACCTCTCTCTCTATCATCCTGGACTGGTCATTGACTGGCACCCCCGCAGAGTGGACGGTGGTAAAACACTGAGTGACATACAGAGAGAGAGCAGGAAGGAGACAATGCACAGCTCTGGAATGGAAAAGAAGGGACTAGGCAGCCAAACTGTTTGGACTACGTTATCGAAACTGGAAGGATTTAATTTCTGAACACGAAGAAGAAAGTGGACAATGCCTATTGCCTTAATAGCTTTTATTTATTTTTCTTTCCTTTTGTTTTTTTTTGAAAATCATTACCAAAGACGTCATCAACCACTTACACGAAGATTAATTGCTGCCCGGCAATCTGATGATAAGAGATGATGAGAATGAAAGTCGCTGCCTTCAGCCAGATCGGTTGGGAAAGACTTGCTGTACTCTCTGTTCTTCAGAAGCATAGCCTCTTGAGCACAAGATCTTTATCCGACACGATAGTTTAAAGAGCTTTTCAAAAACAGAAGATGGTTCATTACATTTATATTTTTGTATAACCTCCCTTCACCAGCCACAGTCTTTGTGTCTTATAGAACTTAAGTGCTGACATTCAGACACACTTTACACTTGAAGATCAAAATCCCATTCAATTGCTGTTCATATTGCTTGGACCTCAAGGATTTCTCAACTCATCAGGCTGTTGCACACTCCAGAGACGATTCACAGAAAGGAGAAAGGAATTGCAACTGCCAGTTTAGAGGGGAGTGGATCATTTTCAGCCAATTGCTTGTAATGAACTCCCAGGATATACAGCAGATCCCAATTGTAGCATGTTGATAATGCCAGATTAGGTGCAATCAACTCTACGAACTGAATCAGGTGGTGGCAGTGGACCTTTTGTGTGAATTGGCTGCCTGGAACCCGCAGAGTGCAACGCACATGTGTACAGAGCTGGGAATGAGGGGTAATGATGAAGGGCAAAGAGAGTAGTTCCAGGGCTGCAGGGTTCCAGGCTGAGCTACAGACAGAGGAGAAACAGTTGCCTAGCTTAATGTCATTTACCTTCCAAAGAACAGAATCTTTACACCCAGCAACAAGTCAGTTTAATCAAATACTCAAGACGGACAAATCCAGATCGCTGTGACCTTGGTTATTTTGTACGTCTTTATAAAAAAAATGTGATCATTGCAGAAAGTTGTTCTGAGGGGAGATCAGTACTAGACTTAACCGAATGCGGTTCTGTTTCATACACCCCTACACATGCCAAAGAGGTTAGTCATGGGTGCCTCTAGTTTTGCAATCAATCCATTTCTCTGTCATCAAAAGACACTTGGCATAACATCAGTTCGTTGCATCGTAAATATTTGGGGAAAAAAGTTGTTTATCATCCCTTGCGCAAAAACCACACTGTTCTGCGTTCTGTGCTTCCGAGTTTAAAAAAAAAACAGAACTTTAAAAGGTCTTAAACTGGTAATGATAAAAGGGGACCTGTTGAAGTGCAAATGAGCCCTAATGCTTTCTCAGTGTTATTGTGGTGCTAATGGAGAAAGCAGGCGAGCTGCCGAAAAAGCTGCCACAGAGATAGAAAACAGACAGCGAGGTCTTTTTAGAAGACAATCTGGAAACCATTTGGCTCACGTATGCCCTGCTCCCACCTTAACTGTAAAAACAAGACACGCAGCTTGTTTGAGCCGAGGAAGAAGTGAAAAAAAAAAGTTCATCAGAGAGAAATCGTCGGGCTTCGATTTTCGTTTTTCAAATGATTTTTGTTATGCACAGTACTCCGCTTGAAGCCATTTAACGTGATGCTTCTTCAGGGGAGGTGTCGTGCTCTGGGGTGCAGGCGGGGGGCTCGGTGCGTGGAGGAGAGGGGAGGGAGCCCGTGGAGTAAGACACGCTGCAGGCAGGGTTCGCACCTGGGCTGTGCAGCCGGCCAGAGCTCTCTCGGCGCGCTGCAGTCTGTGCGGGTCTCTCCAGCCGCCGGGCCGTGGGAAGGGAAGAGGAACTGACAGCACACTCTGGAGAGCAGGGGGGAAGGAAGGCGAGAGGGCGCGGGGCTGGGGGTGGGTAATTGATTCCACAGGGCTGTGTGCACGTGGCGTTCCTGGGTGGCTTCAGAGAGTATTGCTGCCGTGGTAATCGATTGACCCCCCTCCTCCTTCTCCTCCTCCAGGAGGGGGTTACTGGTGGTCTTTGTGTCTCACAGTAAACAAATTGCCCATGCTGTGCTGTAATTATCCAGGGACATTCTGAGGCCCACCAGTAAGGACTTTGTGTGTGCCGTTGAATGCCTTTGTAATGCATTCATTTCCACCCATCCGTGTAATCCCCTATGAAAGTCTACCTTGGTGAATTCGCCAAAGAACTGTTGCCTGTTTTCACCAATCTTAACTATGCTGGACCATAGGAATGGCATGGCGCACTATAGTCATGGTTTATTGGGGGATTTGTGTGGTCTAGTCCAAACAAATGAACAAGGTAATATTTATAAGGATCTATGTCAAATGCTTTAATGAGACCATCTTACATTAAAATAGATGTTATTGCTTTATAAAGGCATTAGAGGGGAAATACCAGATCCTGCATTCCAGCATACCTGCTAGAGAGGGTGTTCAGGAGACAAGATCAGAGATGCCTGGGCACTGAGCAGCTTGTCAGTCCTGTGGGAGAGAAGCCCTTCTGTAAGGACAGCATGTAGCCTCTCCTGGTTGTCACTACCTGCCCTGTATTCACCTGCAGCCTTACCACTATTGTATCATTGTGGTTATTGTTATATTGTAATTATTATAATTTTTATTTTTGTTTTTCTTTTTTTGTATTTATTGAATGTAATGAGGTGGAAAAAATAAAATTGCAAATGAATTTAAAGAAGACTACCAGTAATACTTTTCAGACAAGACAAGCATGCAAACACACTGGGACAAACTTTGACCTTTCCAGCCAACATCTCCCTCGTGTTTATTTTTCCAAATAAATGTTGTTGCCTGACTGCTGGGGTGGAGTTAGAAAATTGCAATACAAACTTTTTGTCTTTGACATATTACTTCAACAACATCTTCTATGTATTAAATTAAGAATTAAAAGGAAAAGTACTGAGGAGACACTTTATACACTTTCCATGTGTTACACACTCTCCCTCTGCCACACACACTCACTCTAGCACACTCTCCCTCTAAAACACACTCACACTCCAACACACTCTCCCTCTGCCACACACACTCACTCTAGCACACTCTCCCTCTGCCACACACACTCACTCTAAAACACACTCTCCCTCTGTCAACACTCTCCCTCTGCCACACACTCACTCCAAAACACACTCTCCCTCTGTTACACACTCACACTCCAACACACTTTCCCTCTGTTACACACACTCACTCCAATACACACTCCTCTGTCACACACTCTCACTCCAATACACACTCTCCCTCTGTCACACACTGTCACACACACTCACTCCAATACTCTCCCTCTGTCACACACACACACTCACTCCAACACACTCTCTCTCTCTCTGTCACACACTCACTCCAACACACACTCTCCCTCTGTCACACACTCTCCGAAACACACACCTTCCCCTGTCCTGCAGTGCTCGTTACGCGGTGACCTGCTCGGCAGTGCTCTCTTGGCAGCAGCTCAGTGAGCAACGCCAGCCTCCCGAGTCCTTCTAGTCTCTCTGTTCCGTCTGGAATTCTGGGAATGAGTTCCATATTGGGGAAATGTCACAAACAGACATGGCATCACGCAAAACAGCACGCACCCGCCTACCCGCCCCAAGGGCCTCCACGTCCACAGCATGGAGGAAATCCCAGCTCTGCACTGTATCAAATTGTCTCCTCTGTGAGGTTCTGAAATATGCTGTGACTGTCGAAGTTGTGCATTTGCACAAAAAGGTATAAGGAAAAAGGAGATGAAGCCTGAATGAATCAGGACCACTCTTTACATGTCTTTCAGAAATTACACTGTATTTAAATATCAGGTACTGTTTTTAAATATAACGCAACAGGGTTTTAAAAATATGCTGTTAAATTTCCCCTTGCATGACTCCAGCTGTTTAAAGAAAAATGCCTGTAATTTTTTTTTCCACAGTTCGGGTCTTGACTTTCTTTTTCCAACTAGAAAGTTAAAATCATTCTCTCACCGTTTTCAAGATGTGCCCTTTGAACTTTCCAGAAGGACGGCGAAGGAAAAATTGCAACAAGTGCTGTGGCTGATTATTATTGCTCACAGCCCTGAACGTGGGGGACAGCAAAACAGCTCGTGAAGAACTGGGAAACAGAGAAGGACAAAGCACGTTGTGTTTTCTCAAGTGTTTTTCTGGAGGGGAGAGACACACTCCCTCTGTACCACAAACACAGTGCACAACAGAAGGCATCATGGGATGACAGTGAGACTAACTCCAACCATTCAGTGTAAGAATGTTTAGCACGCCAGCTATGCAGAGGTACAATACAGGGCCTTGATGGAGCAGCTTTTGTAGTCCATGCAGATAATTGCTGATTAATGGCAATAAACTTACATGTCTGAGTTACGGTAGGAACCAAAAGGTCTCAACATACAGCAAAATGACATACAAAAGGGGGAATTGTTCCCCATAAGAAGAAGGTACATACTGTAAGACCCATAAGACTGAAACTTTGCACATGTTGCTCTAAGCACGGGGGCTTTTTCCATGAGGATCATTGAAATACAGTACAGTTAGGGACCATGAGTTAGATTAAATGTGTTTCACTTGTAGCTAAGTAAATACAGTACAGTACATCACTATGCATGTTTACATAATTTAATCTTATCTACTTCACATTTTTATCTTGACTTGCACATTTGACTTGCACATCATTTTAGCCTACACCATTTTAAACCTGCCTCAAAGTGCAGGGACCCTGGGTCCTATTTCTGGGGTGTAAACTACACAAAGCTTGAATATTCTCCCATTTTCACCTGGGTTTCCTCTGTGTGGTCCAGTTTCATTCTACAATCCAAAAACATATTGATAGATTATTTGGCTTCTGGGAAAATTGTCCCTGCTTGTATGTGTTCGTGTCTGTGTGTCTAACAGACGTCCCATCCAGGGTGTACCCTGCCTTGCTTCTGTTGTTCGCTGGGATAGGTTCCAGCTCACCCACTACCCTGAATTGGCAGAAGTGGTTAGAAAATGGATGAATGGACTAACACTGGACTGATGGGTAGGATGCATTTACTTATTTTAATATTACTTGAGTTTTTCCAGCTGATTGAGCCGAGGTGAGTTTTTGTCTGTGATTTGGTCTTTGCCTCTGACTTTTCACAAAGGCAGCCAACAGTTAGAGCAAACACAAACAGTGTGTTTTGAAGATGTAACATCAATTAACAGTAATGTAAATGTCTGCTCACATTCTGAGCCCTGGAGATGAAGTGTTACGAAATGTCATGATTTGAAGGCTTTCATAATATACAAAATCATTTAGCAGGAATAAAAATCTATAGGAGAGCCTGTTCCTTTAAAACAGGACTTCCCAGTCCTGGTCCTAGGAACCCACATACCTACTTATTTTCCTTGTAGCTGAGCTCTTTATTTGCATTAATCCTTAAGTGAATCAACATGTTGCTTGGTTGGGCCTTTTACAGGTTTTTTTATGGAAAACAGTCTTTTGATGAAGATCTTAGGTTACTTAAGAAACACAGTAGTTAAAAGCTGACCTCCTTTTAACCTTTCAGACTGAAATCAATAAAAGAGTTCAAATAAACTCATGATTGGGTCTAACTATTTAATTAAGTTAATTTAATTAAATTAAGTGCTCAGGTAGAACAAAACCCAGCAGGTGTGTGGGTTCCCAGGACCAGGATTGGGAACCCTTGCTTTAAAACACTCAGCACTGTGTGGGAGTGATTCCCAAAATGGTGCATTGTTTTTTCAAATGACTAGTTAGTCATTGAATGCATGAAACTCCTACCATGCAGGCAATTTCTAATTGTTTGCTTGGTTCTTATTAAATACCTTATTCACAATCATAAATGTTTTCCATCTCACGTGCAAACTTAAGACACTTGAGAGCTGTGACACCAAGCTCTTGTTAAATTAAACTAGTGTAATTCAGCAAATTGAGCACCTCCTGCTGTTGAAGTTAGGTAAGGAGAAGGCCAGCATACAATACGGGTTCAACCTGCAGCCTGGTTGAGTGTCTTTTGCTGACAGTTTAATGTTCAGGTCTTCACTTTCAGCAGTGTCTGACATTTAGGGATATCTCCTGCAAACATCTTTTGTTCATATGTCCATTTCTGCAGAAATACATGGTGGTGAATCTGAGCTTTTTCGCCTATTTCTGGCCAACATTTGCAGCTGAACTCAGGAAACACATTAAAAGTTTATTTGTATTATTTTTTTAAACATGGAATTAATGAACCAATGAACCAAAATTCTTTTTTGAACAATTGGATCACTACACTTTACTATTTCAAAGGGCCAAGACGCTACCAGTGGATAGTTTTGAAGGATTCATAAAGGTGCAACTGAATTGATCATTACAGCATTGTGACTGCAGGTGTTAAAACAGTGAATTGGGGGTTTTGTCAGACATGCTTTTCTGAAGGCAGAGATCAGTTACATGGGCTTGGACTCCCTTACAGGACAATCAGTTTGTGCTATAAAATACAGGAATACTGCTCCATCCTTGAAGTGCTGTCACTCACCCATCCACTGCAAGCTGTATTTAAAACGCTCTGAAGGAGAAGCCAGCCTAATGTAACAGAGTCTGAGCTCCACTAGATTCAGAATGGGTCAGACTGAGGAGGATTCAGGGACCAGTGAAAGGCAGGCAGGAGACAGGGTCAGAAACAATCACTTGATCCAACACCACAGGTGCCACTCAGCACATCACTGAGGCCTTTCACTCACATTCCTAAGGGTGGTTTGATGTTTGGTCACTTCAAGCAAGTACTTGCCAAGCCAAATCCTTTTTTTCTAATCTTTCATTCAGGCAGTGTCTATATTGCTGGTAAATGCTATGTTATTGTCAGATTACTTAGCCGGCCATAGACGTACAGTAGGTTCTCAGTTCTAGGGCTTGGCCAACAGCTGAAAAGAAATGGGGACTATAATAATAAAGAATGTATTTCATGTCAACATCAGTAACTTCTGCAGTTGTTTTGGCAATATGGCAAGAGCTTTGGCCACTGTGTTACACCAGGCAGTTGGCCCACAAACAGCTATTGCTAGTAACAGCTAGTAAAGCTTGCTAACAGTAGCCAAGTGAAATCCAATCCAACAGCACTCTGCACCAGAGCTCCATTTGCACAGCGGCTATAGATCTGCTCTTTCCAATGATAAACTCCCAGGGCACATAGTGAGAGAATCCTGATCCACTTTAATATAAATATATATATATATCTGGATTCCCTGTGGAACTAAAAGCCTGTGCCTGCTCAGTTTGTATCCATGTAGATCTGAACAAATTCAAGTGCTGTGAAACCTCAAATGAAATGTATGTAGGCATTAACAGGAGGAGCTGTTCCCTAGGGGGGTGTCAAAATTAAATTTCAGGCTATTTGTCTTTCTCAGCCCTGGGATCCCGCGGGCAGGATGTGCCTGTAAACGAGATTGAAGCATCTTCAAACAGATGAAAAAGAAGGAAAAGAAAGCGGAGAAAAGGGCCTGGCTCTTCGCGCGTGAGGAAACATCAGGGCTCTGAGAGATCTCCCTCACAGAGGGGTTCTTGTAAAACAATGGGAGCAGCTGTTCAAATCACTCTCGTTGTTTTATCACTCAACACCCAACAGCTACTGCTGCCCTGGGGAGGCCGCGGCGCCCGGGCGCGCGCACACCAGCTTCTCGTTAG